GTCTGATAAGCATTATAAAACGGCACTTCTTTATACTGTCAGTGGACAGACCTTGCCACCGAAGCTTCAATGTAACATCTGTGTAAACCTGTTTTGAATTCTGCACCCTGCAAGTAAACTAGGTTGAAAAGTCTTGTTGTGTCCTCAGAGTGGCTTATTTGAGTAAAGAGATTGATGAAAGGATAATTAGGGCAGCACGGTGGCGCAGTTGGTAGAGCTGCTGCCTCTCAGCAAGCAGGTTACTCTGGTTAAAATCCCGGTCCGGGGGCCTTTCTGGGTGTAGTTTGCATGTTCTTGTCATGAATCACGTCCCATAGATTATATTTTCTGTCACCCTGATCACTCTTTAAAGTTTGCTATAGATCTTTTCTGAGTTTCATTTATTCTGTCCGCTCTGGTAATGTTTTGTGTATGTGAGTTTTAGTTTGTCTTCTTTGCATGCTGGTTGAGGGTGATGTCACGGTTGTTTAGTTTTGTCATCACTGCAGCAGCTGATTGAACTCAACTGGCTGCACCTGTCTCTCTCACCCTTTAAAAGCTGCACTCTTTCTCCTCTTCGGTGCCCGGTAGTTGAAAACAGTTCACTGTAAGTAAATACTTTGTGTTCTTGATCCTGCCTTGTTCCCCCATAGCCTTTCATGTTCCCTTGTCATAGTTTACCTGTCTCCTCATTCCTGTCCTGGTTCCTGTCCTCCCCTCTTGGCTTGACCTCCCAGCTCATGGACCCACGACTCACCTGGACATCGTCTCTCGCTCGACCCTTTTGGATTATTACGTCTTCTGCTTTCGGTTCTGACCTTCGCCTGCACGACAACGCCTCTTGTCTTCTCCTCCGGTACCTCCTGTCTTCTGCTCTCCAGTTTTGGACCCTGGCTTGTATTACCACGTCTCTTCACTCAACGGACTCACCACCCACCTGTCGCTGCAGCCCCTCACCGGACTCGGCCTCTCCTGCAGCAACCTGGATCAGTTTGGACCTAGTCAGTCTCCAGAACCCCCAAGCTCATCTGAGACTGTAAGTGGTCTTCCTCATTCTGACTTTTGCTCTCCATTATCTCCTGCATGACCACTAACTGATCTGTCTCATAGACTCGTTCCTGATCCAGAACCCAAAACCAGAACCGGTCCAATCTGCTATACTTCACATAGAAAATAAATATAATTTAATTTTGACTTTTGTGTGGTGATTTTGGTCCAACTGTTAGGTGGTTTGTTACAGTTCTCTTGGTGCATGTGTGGGTTTTCTCCAGGTACTCCAGTTTCCTCCCACAGACCAAAAACATGTTGGGCTGATTGGTAACTCTAAATGTGAGTGAAAGGTTGTTTGTCTACATGTCCCTGTGATGGACTGGAGACCTACAGTATCTAGGTTGTCCCCTGCCTCTCGCACATTGATGGCTGGACATGGGTACCAGTGACCCTAAAGGAAGAAGCGGGTAAAGATGATGGATGGAAAAGATAATCAATTTATCTGACACTTCTCTCCATTGGCTCCCTGTCAAATTTAGAAAACCGTTCAAAATCTTCTAATGTTCAATACAAAAACAACTGGACTTTATTTGTAACAGAAGACGTTTTGCTCCTCACCTGAGGAGCTTTCTCAATTCAAAGAGCAGAGAGTGAGGGGTTCAGGTTATAAGGCTGAGTGAGATAAGACACGCATACCTGTACATATGTAGATAGGCAATTCACACCTAAACACCTTTAACAGTAGGGGTTTCTTAAGGTCTTTGTTCCTCTAATTCACAGATGAGGCCCCTCTGTTCCCATCAGGTGTGAAAACTGGCTGGGAATCTGTCTTAAAGTTGCATTATATGTTTTTGACAGTGGAAATCTGAGGCCTCCTCCTCTGTTAAGAGACGGTTTTTCTCTTTTTACATAAATTGCTTCCTTCACCCCCCTCTCAAACCATCTGTGTTCTCGGTCCAAAATGTGCACATTTTGGTCCTCAAAAGAGTGTCCCTTATCTGTGAGGGTGAGGTGAACAGCTGAGTGTTGTCCAGAGGAAGTGGCTCTCCTGTGAGCCATGCGTCTGTGAAGAGGCTGTTTAGTTTCTCCAATGTAGAGGTCTGGACAGTCCTCGCTGCACTGGACCACATACACTACACCACTCTGTTTGTGTATGGGTGTTTTGTCCTTAGGGTGGACCAGCCTCTGTCTGAGAGTCCTGCTGGGTTTGAAATGTACTGGGATGATGTGTTTGTTGAAGATCCTTCTGAATTTCTCTGATACTCCAGCAACATAAGGGATGACGATGTTTTTACGTCTGTTGTTCTCCTTTTTCTGTTTATTGGTGTGTTTTGTAGATTTCCTCGCTGACTTGACAAAAGCCCAGTTAGGATATCCACAGGTTTGAAGAGCTTCTTGAACGTGTTTCTGTTCCTTTTCCTTCCCTTCTGTCTTCTTGGGGACGCGTTCGGCCCAATGCTGTAAAGTTCTGATGACAGAGTTTGTGTTCCAGTGGATGGTGGGAGTCAAACAGAAGATACTGGTCTGTGTGGGTTGGTTTTCTATAAACTTCAATGTTGAGGCTGTCCTCTCTTTCCATTTTTCTTTCTTTCTTCTGTTACAAATAAAGTCCAGTTTTTGTATTGAACGTTTTTTTGAATTCATCATGTCCTGGATGTCAGAATCTTTACCAGCATCTTACTTCTAACCTACAAAGCTCTCAACAACCTAGCTCCATCATATTAGAGATCTTATTGTTCTATATTTTCACAACAGAGCAGCTCACTCTCAGACTGCAGGTTTACTTGCAGTTCCTAGAGTTTCCAAAACCAGAATGGGAGGCAGATCTTTCAGTTATCAGGCTCCTCTCTTGTGGAACCAACTTCCAGTTTCTGTCCTTGAGGCTGACACATTGTCCAGTTTTAAGACTGGGCTTAAGACTTTCCTTTTTGATAAATCCTATAGTTAGTCGACTTGTTTTTCTGATCTATTCCTCATCCTATGCTGCTATAACCTTAGACTATTGGAGGACAAATTGCCCTCATTTCATCAAATTAATAATTTGTATTTGTAATTATTCTGTCTTAACACGTGATTTATGTCTGTCATTCCTCTTAGAGAATAACCTGATGGCCTCCATCCTGGTCCTGCCGTTGTGAGTTCGTTCCTCCTTCCTGTCCTTTTGGGCCTGGCCAGTCAAGGTGGATGACCGCTTGTCCTGGGCCTGGTTCTGCCTGTGGACCTGCCATTATGAGTCTGTTTTCTACTTCCTGTTCCTCTCAAACCCAGCTGGTCGAAGCAGATGGCCACTTGTCCTGAACCTGGTTCTGCTGGAGGTTTCTTCCTCATGAGGGAGTTTTTCCTTTCCACTGTTGCATCTGTGCTTGCTTAAGATGGGAGACTGCTATGAAGTGAAAACTCGAAGCAATTTTCGGGCTCCTTAGATAAATATTGTTATTAAATGATTTTTACACATTAATGTTTCTGTTCAGTGCCCAGAGACAACTTCTGTTGTGAATTGGTGCTATATAAATAAACTGAATTAAATTGAAATTAAATTATGTTAAAGAAAAAAGAGCTTCAGTTCAGAGATTCAGAGAGATTTATTTGTCATACACACCACACGTGGTACATGAGGTGGGACGAAACTATGTACACAGGGTCCCAGTTACATCCAACAAAAACAAATTGTAAAGTAAAACAGTAAGATCTGAGTCATGAACTAAGAATATACTACATTCACTAAACTAAGAATACACTAAGCACTACAAGTACAAAAGCAATGTGTCAAAACAACAGCAGCACGAACATGAGTCTGTGTGAGCAGATGAGGATTAATGAACACAGCAACATGAAAAAATCAGCAGCATGAGATCAGCAGCATGGATGGTCAGCAGCACACAACAACCAAGTGACTTTACAGCTATTTTTCAGGGCTGTTTCACAGTGATTTTTCACAGTATTTTTCACAGTGATTATTCTGATTAGAGATTCATGAGTCTAAAAACCTCAGGGTAGAAGCTGTTCCTCAGTCTAGTGGTTCTACACTTAATGCTCCTCAACCTCCTTCCTGAGGGGAGAGTGGCAAAGGGTGTGTGTGCTGGGTGAGTGGGGTCCTTCATGATGCAGGTGGCCCTCGTCCTGCATTTGAAGGTGTAGATGTCTGTGATGGTGGGGAGACTGACTCCAACAGTCTTCTGTGCAGCCTTCACCACTCTCTGCAGAGCTTCTCTTTCTGCAGCTGTGCAGCCTGCAGTAGTTTGTGGGTTAATCTTAAGTCAAGCTAAAAACATAATTTTTCTTTATTTGAATTTGTCTGTGATTTTCTAGCAATTGATTGGCACATAGTGGGTATTTCAATGTTAATTAAAATTTATTTGTTTAATGTCAGGTATAAATGTTGCCATATTGAGTGCTACAAGGGAGTGACAGACACAGACCTGTGGTTACCATGGTGACCTTAGATATGAGCCAATGAGCTATTGGCTGCAGCTTAAACATTTCGTTTTGTTTTGGTTATTTTCTCTCTTCCTCTACAGTATACCTGTATGTATTAAAATGTAGGTGGTTTGTCAGTTCAGATTATTACAAAAGTAAATCTCAATGATTGTGTTTTAGAGAAGAAAGCTGGCGTTTGTTGGACTTGTGGGCAGCAGATTCACGTGCCTTTCCACGCCTGTACGATAAAAGCAATAATTATGAATGCTACGTTTTTCTTACAGTAAACAGAACTTTTCATGCAAGTTCTAGCTGCCATTGCACCTCCTGACCAGTAGATGGCAGTAAGCTGCAATTTGAAGCTACCATCTGCCAGGAAGTAGCACATAGACATAAATATTATAGATGCTGCGTTGACAATTCCTATTGATTTGTTTATAGTTCAGTTAATATGTAAATGGTTAGACATTATTAAACACAATGACAGCCTCTTGTTTTAATTATATGTGCATGTTAATTTCTAAAGAACTAATTAGGACTTAGAAAGGTTTGTGCCTCTAGCTTGTAGTCGCCCTCTTTCGTTGACGCGCAGTGATACGGAGTCTATGCGTTTTATTTCTATGCGTTCCGTTCACGGAGTAAAAATGGCTGCCACCTTAGATAACGTGGAGGAGATTCGGAATCGGGTAATATTGGGGGAATTTGGAGTGAAAAATGTAAGTTTGTGTCGGAACAATAATCGTAATGAAAGCAACATTTAATGCTGTTTAATGTTAAACTAAAGAACTACGCTGGGGCTCTCCTCTTCCTAGCTTAGGCTGGATGGATTATTGAGCATGCATCAGGATACTTAGGCTGCTGCTTTTTATTAGCTGGCCCCATTCTTGTTGTCCAGTGGGTTTCTCACCAAAAAGGATGAAACACCTTAGAAGGTGCGGGGCAGTTAGTGAGGGACAACAGGAGATGATTGTAAACTTCAGTCAAAATTCCTACCACCGTCCTCCACATCGCAGTGGCTCACCTGTGGAGAGGGACAGCTGCGCAATGTTTGAGGGTTTGCATCACTCAGGATCTTACTAACCTAGCAGAGGACGCACTACATCAGGAGACTGAATATACTCCCCCCTTCTTCTACCTTACTACATTTTACACTTAAATGAGAGTATCCTGACGAGCTGCATGTTATCTTTGTACGGAAGATGCAGTGGGACAAAATTAAACTACAGTGAAGTGGAGTTTTTTTTAAATTGAATATTGAAAACATTAACAAAAATGACTTCTTCACAACAACAATTCTATAACAAACATACAGAAATATACACATCTACTATTGTATTCATATAATTTGGGTAACAGAGGTTGATCAGAATATGAAATAAAATAAATAAAACAAACAAAACAAAAAAAATGTTAGGGGGTTATTATCTGAAACTCTTCCATTAACTCGTACAATTTTACTGTGTTTGTGTTATGAATCTTATTCAGACTTGTTTTGAACAAGGAGAGTTCATTTTTGAGAGCAGGGAATGACGGGGGGCATTTTGCACATCGACTACAGTGAAGTGGAGCGAGCTAAAGGAGTCACCGAGGCCTTAAGGGTTCTATCTGTACCAAAAACATTGATTGTACACATTCATATGATTACTGATCTGCTCATCTGATTATCATATGTCCGTGTAACTGTCAACCTTATGTTCCGCAAGGAAATCCCTTCTTATAATGTTTGGCATCACTGTGACGCTTATGGTTTCCCCTGTACAGTATAGGACTAATATGCAGATGGCAACTAGTTTCCAATAATGTCACTCCAGACCAATAAAAATCAAGTTTTCAAACCAACACGTTCGTAAACAAAACTTGTTTATTGCCAGGTCAGGTGATAAATCATCAAATGTGAACAAACTGTTATTTTGAAACTTTTGATATAATGAATTTGAAAATATTAATAATTCAATATTGAAAAAAAATCATTGTATCGTCATCACCTGAAAAACTATCAAAAGTGGTTTTTCGTTGGTATTGTTTACATGAATTTAATCTTTTACTACAACCTGTCATGAAGGGACATGCTTCCTGTTTTTGCTTCAAATCCCATATTACATCCCTGTTTCTAGTTCTTAACATATGTTGATATGATGGAACATAGAGCAGAATGTATCTTGTGTGCATGGTGAGGAGCATCTTTTATTGAATCTGTAAACATGGACTCTGGGGAGAGTTCAAGTTCAAGTCAGCTTTATTGTCATTTCCATCACGTGGTACATGAGGTGCAACAAAGTTATGTAGTGTACACAGGGTCCCAGTTACACTCAAAAGTATAAAAAACCCCAGTAAATAAGGATCTAAGATATACAAAAAGATATATGCTAAACAAATGTCAACCGATTCGCTAAAAGATTTAAGATAAATGGTAAATGGACTGTACTTATATAGCACCTTTCTATCTTATCAAGATACTCAAAGCTCTTTACAACAATCTTTGCCTCATTTACCCATTCATACAGCACTCTACTAGATCTCTACAAAGATAATTGAACAAATCATTCTAAAGAGACTAATCAGAGCTTTATCACATTCATCCACTGATGGGACACACATCAGAGGCAATGAGGGGTTCAGTGTCTTGCCCAGTGACACTTCAGCATGTGACTGCTGGTGGATTCGAACCCCCAACTCTCATATTGGAGGACGACTGCTCTAACCACTCAGCCACAGCTGCCCCCGTATATATGCTAAACACTAATAATGTAAAACAATACGGCATAACAACAGCAGCCCGAACATGAGTCTATCGTGAGCAGATGGATATGAATGAACACAGCAACATGAAACAGATCAGCAGCAACATGAAACAGATCAGCAGCAACATGAAACAGATCAGCAGCACCATGATGTGATTTTTCACAGTGATTATTCTGGTTAGAGATTCATGAGTCTAACAGCCTCAGGGTAGAAGCTGTTCCTCAGTCTAGTGGTTCTACACTTAATGCTCTGCAACCTCCTTCCTGAGGGGAGCAGGGCAAAAAGTGTGTGCTGGATGAGTGGGGTCCTTCATGATGCAGGTGGCCCTCGTTCTGCATCTGGAGGTGTAGATGTCTGTGATGGTGGAGAGACTGACTCCAACAGACTTCTGTGCAGCCTTCACCTCTCTCTGCAAAGCTTTTCTTTCTGCAGCTGTGCAGCCTCCAAGCCACATGTTGATGCTGGAGCACAGGATGCTCAGTGTGAGGCCTCAATGACACACAGCAGTTTCTGTACCAAGAACGTATGCAGCTGGTCAGGATGGTCTCAGCTGTGCCTTGCTATAAAGTGGAGAGGATGGAAGGGACTCCTTTGTCTCATAAGAAAGTGTCCTCTTCAGAACTTTCTTGGCCAGGTGTGTAGTGTTTAAAGTCCATCGTAGATCTCCAATGATATTGACAGGCAAAAGTTTTCTGTGGTTGGCCTTCTTACCTATTAATGTGCAGGGGTTGTGATCAGCCTGTGATCAGCCTTTCTTTTAAAATCCACAATTAGTTCTCTAATTTTATTGATATAAGGAGACAGTTTGTTGATTCCACAACACCTCACTTACTGTTCCATCTCAGCTCTGTTAGATGTTCTGATTGTCAGTGGTAGCGTTTCCCATGGTTCTCTTGTATTATCAGCACATGGAATGAGATGGTTTGTGCTGACTAGTAAAACAGTCGTGTGTAGCAGAGTGAAGTGCAATGGACTGAGGCTGAGCACACATCCTTGAGGGACTCATATGCTAAATATGATAGTCTTACTGCCTGCACACACTTGTTTTTCTGACATCAAGTCCAAAATCCAGTTACAGAGTTATATTTTCTTTACAGAGGAGAATTTCACTGTTAGCTGCTGTGAGATGTTTTGCATCATACATGACTAAAATACTTAAGACTTTAAATATTAATGCAATGACTGTAGTAACAAAGTTTGGTATACGATCACCATTGCTTCTCCACCAGAGAACACAGAGTGGTTTATGACTAATGTAGGTTAGTACACACCAAACTGCAAAACACTGACCTACCATAGCTTCAACATTTTTAGCAGTTTGAAATACTTGAGTTTTGTTTGTTTTGTTGGATCGGACTTGGACAGCCATCTCTCCCCACATTCATCTGTGAATTTCAGCTGCTGACAAACCTGCTGGTTGCAGATAGCACCATGATCCTGATTGTTGCAGACTGGGAACAACCCACAATAAAAACTTCAACAGGACAATCTCATCTTTGAGTAGTATAAAGAATGAAAAAGAAAAACCAAAAAAAAACATGAAGAAATTAATCTACAGTACTAACAAAAATGATAATAACAATAATTTATCTTTCAGGTTCATACAACAGACTTTCCTGGAAATTACCCAGTCTTTGATGACTCATGGGACATGAAGAGATTTCAAAAGGTGAGACGTTAGTCTCTTTTGTACTACCATTTTGCAGTGTTTAGTTTTTGTGTTAGTGTAGTGGACTAGGCCTATGTCAAAACTGACCAGATGGACAGAGACTGTTATTTCATTGATCTGCATCCAGAAATACAGTTTGAGCCATCTGGAGACTTTCTTTCTTGAATTAATCAAGTAGAAAAGACAATTCTTTATGATCATTACTATTTTACAAATGTTTGATAATCAAATTGTGTTAGTTCACTCAATGTTTACAGGTTGAAGAGAACTACTCATTTTTATTTTACATAAACAGTAAGTAATGATTTTTATTCCTCATTCAAAGAAGAAATCAGGTTAATATGCATTTCTTGATTTTTCTGTCTTCAATGAGCAAATTTGTAAGTATGTTAAAGGTCGAACTTCGGTCAACTAAAATGTTTACCGAGAAGAAATGTCATGTTTAACTTTCACAGAAGATAATCAGAGTAGAGGCTCCACGAAGTCTCGTTTTCTCCAATAATCTTTCTGTCTGTTTTTAAACAATCTCATCCTCTGCCCTTGACTTTTCATAACACCTTACATCACAAACCACACCTCTTTCTGGTCCATCGACCAATCAAAAAGCTCTCAAATGACCCGGAAGTCGACCCATTTAAATGTGGCAACTTCCCAGTCTAAGCGGCGCTCAGATTGAGTTCAACATGGGAGTTTTCAGAGCTTGAAAGTTTTTCCTGGAGAAGAGTTCCAGACTTTAACTCTCTGAAGAGAGTTAAAGAGTTCAGAGTTCTTGGATGCTAACGCAGGCGTCCAGAATGTTTCTTGATTCCAGGAAGCAGTGACGATTTTGGGAATTATAACTTCTGTTTGGATAACCTCGCACGACTCTCTAAGGGTTTGGCTGTCCTCACGGAGACGCTGAAAGAGTCAGAAAGGAACTCCGCACCGACACTGATTATCATCTGCAAGGTAAAAGTTCTGCTTCGACCAAGCGTACCGTGAACAAGCTGAGAACTGAAGGAGCGTGCACGTTTCTAGTCAAACAGATTAATTCCCTCACACATCTCTCTGTAAGATAAATCTCCATTTTCCATCTTAAACTCTCCTTTCTCCTAAAATCATTACAGATATTTTAGAAATATCTGAAGCAAAGTTCTCAATCACCGCCGTGTGATTGATGTCTGTTGTTCTGCTGAGAAGTGAGGACAATCTCCGTATTGTTCCAACTTTCTGTGAAACTTGCCATTGTTATTGTTTTCATATTCTGCCAAATTAATGTAAATGTGTGATGTTAAACTTTGATTCTGCAAATAAATGACCGCATTCATTTTGATGGGTCAAAGGTAAATAACGTCTCTCGTTACATTCCTGTTAAACTCAATGCACGCATTTACACAGTCAGAAAAATGAAGAACTCGCAAAATGTATGAATATATACGCATATGTCATACTACATTAGTAGTTTTAGAAAATACTTTTTTTTTTTTTAAACAAAGGACAAGCCATTGTTAGGAGTTCTTTCTACATTGCAAAGGGGACAGCGCTTGAGTCAGAGTTTCTTTATTTGTCATTCGCACCACATGTGGTACATGTGGTGGAACAAAATTATGTACACAGGGTCCCAGTTACATCCAACAATAAAATGTAAAAGAAAAACAGTAATAAGATCTAAGATATGAACATTAACTAAAAATACGCTAAGCACTAATAGCATAAAAACAATATGCCGAACAGCAGCACGAAAGAGTTTAGTAAAAGAAAAGGTTGAAAGTCAATTGTATTTGTTTAAACAAGAGTTTGCATTTTATTTGAACTCTAAAGTCAGAACTTTTGAGTTTAAAAAGTCAGATTTCTGACGTGCCTCAAAATCCAGTGCAACAAAATCCAGTGCAACAAAATCCAGTGTTGCAGCCACCTTCTGCAACAACTTTTCTAATAGCTGCAGGAATACATTTTTTATTTTTATGTGTGACAGTTTTTACGTCATTATACCAGTCACAGACACAGAACTTGACAATCTGTTAGGAAACATGTTGCAATTGTTTCTTCTTGAACTAACATGGGAAATATGTACAAACCGGATTCCAAAAAAGTTGGGACACTAAACAAATTGTGAATAAAAACTGAATGCAATGATGTGGAGGTGCCAACATCTAATATTTTATTCAGAATAGAACACAAATCACAGATCAAAAGTTTAAACTGAGAGAATGTATCATTTTAAGGGAAAAATCTGTTGTTTCCAAATTTCATGGCGTCAACAAATCCCCAAAAAGTTGGGACAAGTCCATTTCTACCACTGTGTGGCATCCCCCCTTCTTCTTACAACACTCAACAGACGTCTGGGGACAGAGGAGACCAGTTTCTCAAGTTTAGAAATAGGAATGCTCTCCCATTCATGTCTAATACAGGCCTCTAACTGTTCAATCGTCTTGGGCCTACTTTGTCACACCTTCCGCTTTATGATGCGCCAAATGTTCTCTATAGGTGAAAGATCTGGACTGCAGGCTGGCCATTTCAGTACCAGGATCCTTCTCCTACGTAGCCATGATGTTGTGATTGCTGCAGAATGTGGTCTGGCATTATCGTGTTGAAAAATGCAGGGTCTTCCCTGAAAGAGATGACGTCTAGATGGGAGCATATGTTGTTCTAGAACCTGAACATAGTTCTCTGCATTAATGGTACCTTTCCAGACATGCAAGCTGCCCATGCCACAAGCGCTCATGCAACCCCATACCATCAGTGATGCAGGCTTCTGAACGGAGCGTTGATAACAACTTGGGCTATCCTTGTCCTCTCTGGTCCGGATGACATGGCGTCCCAGTGTTCCATAAAGAACTTCAAATCGTGACTCATCTGACCACAGAACAGTCTTCCATTTTGCCACGCTCCATTTTAAATGACCCCTGGCCCAGTGCAAACGTCTGAGCTTGTGGAGCTTGCTTAGAAATGGCTTCCTCTTTGCACTGTAGAGTTTCAGCTGGCAACGGCGGATGCCACGGTGGATTGTGTTCACTGACAATGCTTTCTGGAAGTATTCCTGAGCCCATTCTGTTATTTCCTTGACAGTGGCATTCTGTTTGAGGTGCAGTGACATTTAAGGGCCCGGAGATCACGAGCATCCAGTAGAGTTTTACAGCCTTGACCCTTACGCACAGCGATTGTTCCAGATTCTCTGAATCTTTTGATGATGTTATGCATGGTTGATGATGATAACTTAAAAGTCTTTGCTATTTTACGCTGGGTAACACCATTCTGGTATTGCTGCACTATCTTTCTGTGCAACAATGGTGGAATTGGTGATCCTCTTACCGTCTTGGCTTTTGAGAGACACTGACACTCTGAGAAGCTCTTTTTATACCCCATCATGTTGTCAATTGACCTAATTAGTTTTAATTGGTCTTCCAGCTGTTTGTTATATGCTCAATTTCCTTTTTCCAGCCACTTATTGCTACTTGTCCCAACTTTTTTGGGATTTGTTGACACTGTGAAATTTTGAATCAACATATTTTTCCTTTAAAATGTTACATTTACTCAGATTAAACTTTTGATCTGTCATCTATGTTATATTACGAATAAAATATTGACATTTGCATCTCCACATCATTGCATTCAGTTTTTATTCACAATTTGTTTAGTGTCCCAACTTTTTTGTAATCCGGTTTGTATAAGCCACAAAGAACATCAGATTTTTGAGCCTACCAGTAAAACACCCTAAATATTGAACCCACACAGTTGTGATTAAATATTTTATGATGCCAGTCACATCAGACTTTGGCTCATGTTACTGAAAAAAAGTATTTTATTACAATAAGAAGTAGTAGATTTAAAGATGTAATTTTCTTAAAGAGAAATTTTTTTTTTTTACTGAATCTCATGTAGTAAAAATAAAAACGGCTTTTTATAAGTGCTTTGTGTTTGTGTTGAAACCGGACAAGGAGGGAGAAGAAGCAGCCAAGAGGCCAGTGTTGACCCTGACCCAGCTGGACTTTATGGCAGAGGGTCAGCGGAGAGTACATTGCATAATAATAAAATAAAATTTAAAAATGGCCCTTTGGAATTTGACATAAAACATACTGGGCACTCCTCAAACATGCAAGTGCTGTGATCAGATGTGACCAAAATTAAACATTTCATCCATCGAGGACAACAGCATGTCAAACCCATTATGCTGAGAACACCACAGTAAAGCATGGTGGTGGTAGCATAATGCTGTGGGATGTTTTTCATCTATGGCAGAGGTCACTAATAGATGGATCTTAGTCTGGATCTGGACTGAGCGATGGTTCTGTCCGGACCTGTGACCAATCTGATAAATTCAGGAAAATAGATTTTCATGGAGCATTTTTCCAGAGATAGACAGCTTAGGTGCCAAGCAGAGACACAGGAGGTGTGTTCTGGAGGTTCACTCTACTTCAGGTGTTGCAGTTATAGCGTCACTCGGTTAATGAGCCAATCAAATCTTTAGTTTTCCCTGCACGGTGCCGTGAGCTCTCACCAGAGAAGAGTTGAGAAGGAACAGAGAGGAAGAGACAGCACGTTGTGCTCCTTAAGAAAAGTTGCTGCTGAAAACTGTTTGGAAGATGAATGGACAGAGAAATTAATGTTCATTCTTCCAGCAGGCAGTTCAAAACCTGTTTGCCTCATTTGCTCTGAAACGGTCGCATTAATTTAAAGTGGCAACGTGAAGCGCTCTTCATCTCTTTTGAGCAACGTTACCTGCTGGAGTCGAGCAGAGAGCAGTAAATTAACCGAACTGGAAGCCCAGTATGACAGATCCACTCTCCTCATCACAAATACTTTACAGCCCAGCAGCGGCTCAATGTTCACTCAAGGTATCGTGGATTTTGGGGCAACATAAATAAATTAGTGACGGGACAGTCGTGAAGGAGTGCTTAAATGTTGTTGCTGAGACATTTGAAGGAAAACTAAAAGACAAGATGTGTGAAACAATCAAACAAATCCTGATGTCAGCTTCAACATCAAGCAGAACATCAGAAATATTGGCAGATGTGCTGGCACAGCTGCATGCAGCTGTTCAGAGTCATCGATGAGTCTACAGATGTTACTGATGATGCTCAGCTTCCTACATGAGAACGGCTCCGACTCCATCCAAGGTTTAATTTAGTGGCAGGACAATCCCATGTCCATGTCTCTCATTAAGAAAAGTCAAATAAATAATAATCAAAAGAGAAAAGGTGTTAAATGTTCTGTTTTCAGTTTTTTCCTAAAAGAGACATTTTTAGTTATTGCTTTCTGAAGATGACGACGTGTTTTACTTGAAAACTTACATTTTTATAGGTTGGTGCCTCTTTAAGAAAAAAAAAAAGAAAAATCTTTACTTGCTCCGTTTACACTTTTTATACTAAAAGAGCCACTTTTTAAATTGTTTTCTAAAGATGTTAACTTTTTTACTTTAAGTGTAAGTCTTCAGTTCGTTAGGCTTGGACCGGTTCAGTTTAAGAGAAAAAGGCTTATTAGGCTCTGTTTGCACATTTAAGATGTATTTTACTCTGAGCTTTCTGTTTTAATGTGAAATAAAGGCTCTACATTTATTTGTCTGGGACTACTTTTAAATATGGTAAAAGAGTTAGTTGTGCAGTTTAACAGTGAAAATGTGAATACGGGTAGACAAGTCCATAAAAGTCAAATGTTGGACGTTTGTTTGGACCTTTTACTAGGAGGACATTTTAGTAAGTGGACCTCAGTGAGTTTTAGTTGAATACTCCTGGCCTGATCTATGGGGACTGGAAAACCAGTCTGAGTTGGAGTTGATTTCCAGAGATTTGAGACCAGGATGGAGGTTCCCCTTCCAGTTGGACAATGACCTAAAACACACAGCTGAAGCAACACACCAGTCATTTAAGGACAAACAACGATTAAATGTCCTGGAACGGTCCACTCTAAGTCCAGACATCAATCTTACTGAGAAACTTGGTTTGATGTACAGAAGCACCCAGTCTGGGTGAACACGAACCTTAAGATTAATATTAACATTAATGGTGTAAAACATTCTGTTCTGAGCCACATAATTTTAATCAAAATGTTCAAACTGGATTTATTACTTGTATTTCCTCTTCTGCTTGTTTTCAGAATTTCAGAATTGATGTGGTGCATCTGGATGAAAACAGTATGGAGTTCGACATGGTGGGGATTGATGCTGCCATCGCCAACGCCTTCAGAAGGATATTACTAGCAGAGGTCACATTTCTATTCAGAACTGCACATTTTTGTGTGTTTGGTTTCATATTATAACGTACTAGCTCTTTTCCACATCCCATTTCTCTTTTTGTCTGACAGCAATAAGTGTGAATGAGGTTCAGCACGTTGCAGAGTAAGATTTTAAGTTACAGTAGTCCCTTGTTTATCGCGCGGGGATCCGTACCCTGAAGTCCTGCAAAAAGTGAAAAACTGCGAAGTAAGGATAGTAGTACAAGTAGTAGTTTATTTTAGTATTTATATATATATATATATATATATATATATATATATATATATATATATATATACTGTATATAATGTTAGGCTGATTGGTAACTCTAAATGGTCCCTAGGTGATGGACTTGTGACCTGTCCAGGGTGTACCCCGCCCCTTAAACCCTTCCTACACTCTTGCAATATTTTAAACAATGTTTCTAAGCGCTCTAAAAGAGCACAGCATGTCATGATTTCAGCTCTCTGCCTCCGGCTGCACTCTGGGCTCTTGGCCACGCCCATTTCTCTGCAGTAGAACTGAGATCAACAGAGGAAGGAGAAGCTGCAGGAGGAAGTTTCTCCTGCAGCTGTGGACTGCATACAGGTGCAGCAGGTGCTAAATAATTTTATTTATTTTAAATAAAAATTCCATGCCGATCGTGCTGTAATTACTTTAAAATGCACATCAGTATGAAGTAAACTGTAAAATAGGGTAATAGAAACAAACATCTGGTGTGTATCGTACACCACCTGTGTTTTTTGGCTCTTGGTTAGCCTAAACAATTATTGGTTATAATCGCCTTAAAACTTTGAGATATAGTCTAACTCATTATAAGTGAAATAAATTAGGGCTGGGTCAAGACTTTTGCACAGTAATGTGCATGTAACTCTTTAATTTACTGTCCAGTGGTGTAAATGTAAAAACTGCCAGCGTGTCAACATCCTAAAGCCGTCACTTTAACAGACTTTTAATCTTTTACATATCTTCAGTTTATTTCCTTTACAAGTTCAACAATTTGTCTCTTCTGCCCAGAGTGTTTTATAACACATGAGCTGATGTCAAACTAAATAAATGCCCCACTTTGTGTTCTTTATTATGATGTTTTTGTGATTTTGCTTTTTAGAGTTTTTTCTTTTTGCTTGCAGGTGCCCACCATGGCTATAGAGAAAGTATTCATCTATAACAACACATCTATTGTCCAAGATGAAGTCCTGGCCCACCGATTAGGCCTGATCCCCATCAAAGCTGACCCTCGTCTGTTCGAGTTCAAGAACGCTGGTACACTGACTCACTTGTTCACTCCCTCAGGTGCCACGTAACCGCAGAGCCAAGATTCTTTGCTCGTTCACTCGATATCATTTGGGTTTTTGTAGTTAAATGCACATTACAGGAATTTCAACAGAAGGAATGAGTTAAATGTTGCCCTGAACTTGAATACTTCCATAAGTCTAAAGGTTTATTCTGTTTAGTTTCGCTCAAGAAGCATTTCAGATAAATAAAGAAAAGAAGAGGAGATCTCACGTTACAATGAGAAACAAAAAAATAAAGCTGTTAAAGTAAAATGAGCTAAATTTGTGTTTAAATTTCATCAATATTTTAGGGGAGACTAGTTAAAGACACAAAATTGCAGAAAATATACACATTTCCTCTTAAACAGTCACTACTGACACCTTTGTGTATGTCTAGCAGCAAATAGTCACATATGAGTAACATTCCAGTGAATGGTGCAAATATTTTTGTTGCAGTTTAGCCACAGCGTCTTAATTTGATAGTTAATTATTCACTTTGTCTCCAGTCAGTCAATTCAATTTATTTATAAAGCGCCAAATCACAACAAAGTTGTCTCAGGGCACTTTACAGGAACATTCACATAAAAGCCAATTAGTAAAGTTCTCTATCTAAGGAATCCAGCAGACAAGTTGAATCTTGGCTTCGTTACAGTCTCCCATCCTGAGCAAGCACAGTGGCAACAGTGGGAAGGAAAAACTCCCTTTTAAAAGGAAGAAACCTCCAGAAGAACCAGGCTCAGGACAAGCGGCCATCTGCTTTGACCGGCTGGTTGAGAGAACAGGAAGGAGAGACAGACAAACACAGAATGGTAGGTCCAGGTATAGGTCCAGGTGTATCTGAAAGACAAAAAAACAAATGTTAAGGATAGAAAAAATAATTACAAATACAAAACAGGTTGAGCAGAGTAAGTAAAGACAGTAGCAGAGTGAAAATTGTGGTCAGTTTGTCCTCCAGCAGTCTAAGCCTATAGCAGCATAACTAAGGGACAGCTCAGGAAACCAAAGCCGACCCTAACTATAGGATTTAGCAAAAAGGAAAGTCTTAAGCCTAGTTTTAAAACTGGATAATGTGTCAGCCTCACGGACAGAGATTGGAAGTTGGTTCCACAAGAGAGGAGCCTGATAACTGAAAGATCTGCCTCCCATTCTGTTTTTGTAAATTTTAGGAACCACAAGTAAACCTGCAGACTGAGAGCGAAGTGCTCTGTTAGGAAAATATTAAACAATAAGATCTGTAATATAAGATGGAGCCAGGTTGTTGAGAGCTTTGTAGGTTAGAAGTAAGATTTTAAATTATATTCTGGATGTGACAGTTTAGTTTCAAATGTTGCCATAGTGAACTCACAGCAACTAAACTGAGAACGGTTTGAAATGTCCGCAATTACTCTGTTTTTAGAAAAAACATTGATTCACAATATTTAATGGCAGTATTGCTGGATCAAGGCCTTGTGCCTCACACACGAAGTTACGAACCCTCAAATGTCTCATGACATTTTGGACGCTGCCTCGCGAACGCCTTGGTCAGCAGCGGTCAGCTCGGGGAGGTGCAGGCTTTAGGTTGAGCTGAGCTCGTACAGCTGACAAAAAGACAGCCAAGCTGCGTTCACCTTGTTCTCTAAAATAATATAAAACATCTGTTGTGTGCTTTGATCAACTCCAGCTGAAGAGTCTGCAGAGGAGGAGGCTTCTGAAATAGACACCATTCAGCTCCAGCTGAAGATTAAATGCCGCAGGAACCCCAGTGCCAGCAAAGACTCCTCTGACCCACGAGAGCTCTACCTGAACCACATGGGTAAATATTTAACAAATGAAACGTTTCATTGTGTTCATTATTTTCATTACACAGCCCTGTGTGAAAAAACTGGAGCCATTCTTTCATATTTATTTATCCCTTCATTTCCTTTTTTAACCCTTTTTTTAATTTACCCAGGTAACTTTAACCTGTGGATTATTCAAGGTTAACTAAAGTCACATGATCTAGCTTGTTTTGCGTCCAAACATAAGGAAAAACTTATCAAAGAACGGTTTACATTTTTTCTTTACTCCGTTACACCATGTCAGGATATACCAAAGGGTTGGGAACAAGGATTGTACTGAACGTCAAGTAAATAAGCAGCCAATGTCTGAAGATGAAATGAAGATCTTCAGAATGTTTGGAGAACTTCACTTGAAACCATTTGAAAGTTGATTCAAATTCAACTTCAGAAATACTTTATTAATCCCAAAGGGAAATTATTATTAAGTTTATCAATAAAAACAAACTCTAACTTTTATACACCTAAAACATGGTTGCCCAAAAGAAAAAGATGCTTTTCATAAAGAATTAGATGGTTAGAATTAATATTTTACACTTTATATTTAAAGCTATAGATGCATTAAATCTGAATTATATGAATATAAGTGTTCACCCGTTATTATTCTGTTTATATATTTTTTTATTTGCCAGTTTTTCTGCTGCTTTGAGAAAAAACAACATTGACTCATTGAACAAACATTGAAAAATGACTCCCTGAGACAGGAGGAAGCTTTTTCTGCAGCTGTGGGCTGCACTAATGTGCAGCAGGTGCTAAATAATTTATAAATAATTTATTTTTAATAAAAAATTCCATGTCGATCATGTGGCTCATCCATCAATCAGCCAATTGTGTGTCATGTCCAATCTTATTTTGAAAAACTGCGATAGAGCGAGTCTGCGATAAACGAGCTGCGAAGTAGCGAGGGACTGCTGTACTCTGAAACTGTGGTACTTGCAGGTGCAGAAGCTGAACACAGTCATGCAAAGCAATGATTCAGTTTCCTAAACCCTTTATGTTTTCACAAGTCAACTCAGGTATGAATAAAGTTTTCTGTTTGTGTTCGTCCGTTTCACGCCTCTTGTTTTCTTGTGCTAGTTTATTCCAGGGACATACAGTGGATCCCTCTGGGAAACCAGGCGGATGTGTTTGCAGACTCGTGTATTGCACCGGTGCACGATGACATCTTGATAGCGCAGCTCCGACCTGGACAGGAGCTGGACATCGTCATGCACTGCGTTAAAGGAATCGGTAAGAAGTGTTGGCGGTCCTCAGCTCAGAACACACAGATTGTTTTTTCTTATCGGTCATCTGTTTGTAAATGTAAAACAAAAAGCTTTTTAGGGAAGCTCAGACTTTACAACATTATTTCTGGATGACATTCACACATTTTGTTAGAAGCCATTTATAGAATATTTTGTTTTCTATCATTAGCAGTGGTTAATTTGAGCCGGATCCTGTCGGAACAAGATCCAGGAATTCTCTCATTTTGACCCGTTCTGTTCCGACAACTCTTTGTTCAGATCCGGCAGCTCCGTCCCTAAAAGTTCACAGTCATCGCACATTTTTATTTTGATTATTTATTAAAAAATACAACGAGAGGAGACGTTGCCCTCAGCCCGGCGGACCAGTCTGTGGAGTGGATGTTTCATCCGCAGAGATTCTGCGCACAGACCTTCTCTTCTCCAAATATTATCCTTACTCAGCGGAACTGCGCACTGAAAAACACCCTCTCCTCCTCTCAGACCCCCGAAACTGAAACGATCATTTATTCAACACAATAAATCAATGCCCTGTGGACAGTGCACGTTACGCACAGCGTCTCAGACAGCTCTAGCCCGCGCACACATCAGCTCTGTCTGAACTCCTGTGACATTTCAGACATAATAAATAAAAAAAGCTTACTGTAAAAAATAAATTAAAAATACAAAGATAGAAATGTTTGATGTGTTATTTACATTATACGTCACATTTCAAAACAACGGCGCTAATTTGTCAAAATAACAACAGGATCAAAATGTAAAAAAAACAGTCCTGTTTACTTTAATAAAAAATGATGGATGGATGTCCGTCCGTACATACATACGTCCTTAGTTGGACAACAGAGTTCCGGCATCAGTCAGTTTACAAATTAAGCCCTGGTCATTAACATATAAAATGTAAATGACCACAAGTTTAGTTTAGTTTTGTCACGTTTAAAAATTATGAACTTAAAGCCATTTTTGGCAAATCTTTAAAAATTAGGTTGACTCCAAAAGTTAATTAGTGATAGTTGTACATCCAATGATTACTTTCTGAAAGTTTTATTAAAATCTATTCAGTGGTTCATGAGATATTTTGCTAACAGACAGGCATAGTTGACTCCAGTAGTTAATGCCAAAAATGTGAACGAAGATCCTGCTCGATCAGCTGTTTTTGTGTTTTTATGGTCAGTCAATCGTGGCCGTCATCTTGAATTGGGTTGACTCCTTGAGTTACTCAGCTGTAAATCTACATGCAGTGATTACAGACAAACCTCTGCTCACACACTTTGTGGCTTTATTTTATCCTGTAGCACAAAGTATTATGAGAAAACACTGCGTGCTGTTAGTAGTAAATACTCCGACACAGAAACTTTATCAACCCAGACATCCATAGTGTTTGGATAAACTTTGAGTTGTAAAGGTGAGTCAAGCTTGTGTTGGGTGTGGTTTAACAGACGATGAAGCGACCGCTCTGTTCTGTGCTCAGCTAAGGACCATGCCAAGTTCTCTCCAGTGGCAACAGCCAGCTACCGCCTCCTCCCAGAGATCACCCTGCTGGAGCCAGTGGAGGGGGAGAAGGCAGAGCGTCTGAAACGCTGCTTCTCACGAGGCGTGATAGACCTGGAAGACTTACACGGTAACAGTAAAGCAACAGGGAGCGTTGTTGCTTTATCAAAGTTTCAGTAAATCTGTACATTTATGTTTTGTGATTAATGTTTTCCATCTCAGGTAAAAAAGTTGCCAAAGTGGTCAACAGTCGACTGGACACATGCAGCAGAGAAGTTCTCCGACACACTGATCTGAAGAACGTGGTGAAGATCGGGAGAGTACGAGACCATTTCATCTGTGAGTTTATACGCACTTCCATCCATACACCCATCCATCCATCCATCCACCCATCCATCCATCCATCCATCCATCCATCCATCCATCCATCCATCCATCCATCATCTTCAGCTTGTTCCAAAGTCAGGTCTTGGGGCAGCAGCTTGAGCAGGGAGGCCCAGACATCTCTTTCCACAACCACCTCTTCCAGATCTTCTGGGAGGATTCCAAGGTGTTCCCAGGCCAACCGAGAGACATAGTCTTTTCAACGTGTCCTGGGTCTTCCCTGGGGTCTCCTTTCAGCCGGACATGCTTGAAGCACCTCCCTAGGGAGGCGCCCAGGGAGCATCCTTACCAGATCCCTGAACCACCTCAACTGTCTCCTCTCGATGTGGAGGAGCACCGGTTCTACTCTGAGTTTCTCCTGTTAACTGAACTTCTCACCCTTCTCTAAAGGAGAGTCCAGCTACGCTGAAGAGGAAACTCATTTCAACCACCTGTATCCACGATCTCATTCTTTCAGTCACTACCAAGAGTTCATGACCAGAGGTGAATGGACTGTACTTATGTAGCGCCTTCTATCTTATCGAGATGCTCAAAGCTCTTTACAATCTGTGCCTCATTTACCCATTCATACATCACTCTACTAGATCTCTACAAAGATTGAACAATTCATTCTAAAGAGACTAATCAGAGCTTTATCACATTCATACACCAACGGGACACACATCAGAGGCTATGAGGGGTTCAGTGTCTTGCCCAGGGACGCTTCAGCATGTGACTGCTGGTGGATTCAAACCCCCAACTCTTGCATTGGAGGACGACTGCTCTAACCACTCAGCCACAGCCGCCCTAGGTGAGGGTAGGAACATAGACTGACCAGTAAACAGAGAGCTTTGTCTTACAGCTCAGCTCTCTCTTCACCACAACGGACCGGTACAGAGTCCACAATACTGGAGATGTTGCACCAATCAGTCTGTCAGTCTCTCACTTTATTCTTCCCTCACTCGTGAACAAAACCCAGAGATACTTGAACTCCTCCACTTGTGGAAGAACCTCACCCTTGACCCGAAGAGAACAATCCACCCTTTTCCGGTTCAGGACCATGGCCTCAGATTTGGAGGTGCTGATTCTCACCCCAGCTGTGAACCGGCCTCCTCCACTTACAGTGGTGCTTGAAAGTTTTTGAACCCTTTAAAATTTTCTAAATTTCTGCATGAATCGTTTAGCATTTGTTTAGCATATATCTTAGATCCTTATATAAAGTTTCTTTTTATACTTTATATTTTTTTATATTGTTGGGTGTAAGTTGGACCTTGAGTACATAATTTCATTCCACCTCATTCACCACATATGATGTGAATGAAAATAAAGAGCCTTGAACCTTGATAAATATGACTTAAAACATCATCAGATTTTTTTATTTGAAGGTGAAATTAGAGTCAGGTGTTTTCAATCAATGGATGATGATCAGGTGTGAGTTTCACCCTGTTTCATTTAAAGAACAGGATCTAACATGTTTGTAGAAGTGGATCATGACAGGAACAAAGGAGATTTCTGAGGACCTCAGAAAAAGAGTTGTTGATGCTCATCAGGATGGAAAAGGTTACAAAACCATCTGTAAAGAGTTTGGACTCCACCAGTCCACAGACAGACAGACAGATTGTGTACAAATGGAGGAAACTCAAGACCATTGTTACCCTCTCTAGGAGCGATCGACCAACAAAGATCACTCCAAGATCAAGGCGTGGAATAGTCGGTGAGGTCAGAAAGAACCCCAGGGTCACTTCTATACAACTGAAGGCCTCTCTCACATTGACTAATGTTAATGTTCATGAGTCCACCATCAGGAGAACTCTGAACAACAATGGTGTGCATGGCAGAGTTGAAGGAGAAAGACAGTCCAGAAAGAACACGGTTGCTCGTCTGCAGTTTGCTAAAGATCACGTGGACAAGCCAGAAGACTGTTGGAAGAATGTTTTGTGGACGGATGAGACCAAAATAAAACTTTTTGGTTTAAATGAAAAGTTTAATGTTTGGAGAAAGGAAAACTCTGCATTCCTGCAGAAGAACATTATCCGATCTGTGAAACATGGTAGTAGTACAGTAGTCCCTCGCTACTTCACTGTTTGTTATTCGTGGACTCGCAACATCCAGAGTTGAAGCTGTTCTGTACGGAGGAATGAACTAAAATTCCTCCAAGGTGATCAGGACTGATCAACAGTTTCCAGAAACATTTAGTTGCAGTTATTACTGGGGGTCACATCAGGTACTGAAAGCACAGGTTCACATAATCTTTTTCCCTTTTTTTTCTTTTGGCTGCTCCGTCTTCAGGGGTCGCCACAGCGAACTAAGTCGTACGAAGACTTGGCAATAGCTCTTACACCAGATGTCCTTCCTGACACAACCACAGACCACAGCTCTCTGTGTGGAGCAGAGAGCTGCATCTAGGGTGCCCGGGAGTGCAGATGGTGGAAGTTAAGGGCCTTGCTCAAGGGCCCAGAGTGGGGCAAATGAGGGTGGAGGCAGGTGTGGATGCTTCACCTTTTCCACACATTTTGATGTTGTCAATACCGGGAGTTGAACCGGCGACCTTCCGATCACAGGCCCACCTTCTCTAATCTCTCCTTCAGGTTCACATACTTCTACCACTCACAAATATGTAATAATGGATAATTTTCCTCAATAAATAAATGACCAAGTATAATATTTTTGTCTCATTTGTTTAACTTGGTTCTCTTTATCTACTTTTAGGACTTGTGTGAAAATCTGATGATGTTTTAAATCATATTTATGCAGAAATATAGAAAATGATAAAGGCTTCACAAACATTCTGGCACCACTGTATTCTCTCTCCTGCTAAAAAGGATTTAATCGTGTTCACAACTCATGGCTAGTAGGCTAATACTGCTAAACTGGAAATCTGTTGCTCCACTTACACAAGAGAGGATCTTTGTTTTCTTAAATTGGAAAAAAAAACCATCAGGCAGGCTTTAGCTGATAAGACTCGTTTGAAATAACATATATCCTTTTCTGTCCTACATTAAAGAAACAACAATCATTTTGAACTGAGTACTATAGTAATACGCTTTGGTGTGTGAATATACCTAAATTTAATGTGGGTAGATGTGTATGTGTATCTTGTAGAATTATTTATTTTTTGGTGGTTTTAATTATGTATTTTATTTATTATTATTTTTACGCTCGTAGAAAGACGAACATATTGTGTAATAGTCTCTGTCCATATATCCGTATACTTTCTCTTGTCCCACCCATAACTTCTTAACTGCTCGAGATAATTTACCACAATGTGGTACACTTTTATACCTCCACTAGACAGCGTGTTGCTTATTCTTTTCTTCACTCAAGCTCCAAGTCAAGCTCACAAATGTAGGTCAAAGGTTATATAAGGTCTTCTTTGTCCAGGCCATTGCTATAGATTGCTGTATAATAGTTTGTCGATGGGCGTATAATGTGCCGTGTGCTCTATTCTTGTTTTTCCACTTGTTTGTTTGGGGCAGGGCAATATGTTGGCAATTTAAGAATGACCTCAACTACAATCCTAACAAGAATGTTACTGAGAAAGATTCAGATAAAAAGGTAATTGAAACTTGTATTCAGTGGTAAAAGAAAGTGTTACTCAATATTCCAAAATATTTGTATTTACTGTAAATGAGCTCAACTGAAGCCATTTTTTATTGAGAGACATCCAGATAATGACTTGGCTGTTAGCGTGGGGTCAGTTCAGCATGTGGTCCTACGTCTTGGATTGATTGTGTTCAAAATAAAACTACAGTGGCAGAAACACATGGAATCATGTTATCTTGTTTTAAGAGTGCTACCTGTAATAACGCTGTGGTTGTTGGGAAACAACTTGGTGTATTACTGTGTTACTACCAGGTGCTGGCAGATTAAAAATGCTGCTGCTTATCGAAATGGCAGTCCCATTAAAAAAATGAAGTAGTCATTTAACAACTATGTTCATACACTCCTTCACATTGATTTATTGAACTGGCAAAAAAGAGAAAAAACAAACAGTCTTTATACTCTTACAATTCTGCATGACGGGGTCACCATCACTTTACGTATCTGACACAGTAACGTATGTAGTGCCAGATTTTTATGGATTTATCTTTATGCTCTTAAATAAAAAAAAAATACCCCAAGTTGTGTGGATAGGACAATCTTTCTTTGGTTGATGTGGGGATATTTCATTTTTTTCTGGAGTCAGCAATTTTCAAATAGTAATTTTTGCTTGACTTTGTCCATCTCTAGTTTGCACGTAAAAGTACTGCCACGGTCTTAAGAAAAGAGAACCAGAGTGTTTTACACGGTTGTGCTCAAACCTGCCACCAAGTCTGTGTTGGACCTGTCAACTGCCTCAGATTATCTGTTTGTAGTAGAACACGTGGGAATTTCCTGCACATCTTCTGCATAATGATGCGTTTTTCTTTTCTAGTCACCGTGGAGTCGACCGGCATCCTGCCTCCAGACGTCTTGGTCTCAGAGGCCATCCAAGTCCTCATGGCCAAGTGTCAGACGCTCCTGGGGGAAATGAACTCTACTGACATGGAGTGAACGAATGACTGAACAGTCATCCGTTCATCTGAGCTCCTCATCAAATGGTTATGGTCAGATGCCTTTAAGATGTACATGTAAATGTTTCAAAACATGGATTTTTTTTTTCTACTTGACTTTCACCTCAGAGTTTCTTTAAAAATGCAGAATTTAACAAAATTATCATTTTGATGTGTGTGTGTATTTTGGCTTAAAACCTTAACATGAACCGGAGGTTACACTGGCAAGAAAATCACCAAACATTTCTCAGTGTGGAGCAAATGCCCCTTAAGGTGTGTGGCTTTAACACCCCTGATCAGTTTTTCTGTTACTATTCAGTTTTAGATAATTAGAAGTTAATTGACCTATAAAAAAAGACTTTTGTACTTAATTAAAACAAATAAACATTTCCTATGAAAATTTTGAAGGGTACCAATGCAGCTACTGTCAAAATCCCAACACATGCACACAAACCTTCTATTAAGCGCAATGATAATTTGGGACTAAATTTGTTAGAATCTAAAGGCAGTATGTCACTGGTTGCCATTTTTGGAGACTAGCTGAAGATTCAAAATAGTGAGAAAATTGACAAATTTTCAGGTGCAGTCTCAGTGTTTGGAGTGCTTGCAACCAAGCAAACCCTGTTTGCATTTATTTATTTATTTGTATTAAAGAACAGATTATTTTTGCGTACTTTAACTTGAAAAATTGTATTCTTTGTCATGCACGTTATTTTGTTGCCCCCATTCTACTCACTTTAGCTGGGTTTTTTCTCGTTATCTAGTCTCACCACAACTCAGTTGGACTACACAGGTCTACATGGTCTACTAGTGGTTTTCAATATAACTTGTGTCCTACCTCAATGTAGACGGGATCGTCATAGAGAGAACACGTGAAATGTCTACCCAAGGCAAACAGTTCAATTCAGTTTATTTATAAGTCACAACAAAATCAGTCATCTCAGGGCACTGAACAGAAACATTCATATATATATAAAAAGTAAGTTAATGACATTATTTATCTGAGGAGCAGATTGTTTGAATTTAACTCCATCACTGAACTCTCATCTTGAGCAAGCATGAAGGCGACAGTGGAAAGAAAAACCTCCACATGAGGAAGAAACCTTTAGCAGAACCAGACTCAGGACAAGCGGACATCTGTTCGACCAGCTGGGTTTGGTAGGAACAGATACACAATGGCAGGTCAAGAATCACATGTTAAGATAGAAATAATATCAAATGAAAACTATTCATCCATTATCTTTTACCTGCTTCATCCATTTTTGGGTCACGGGTGCCCATATCCAGCAGACACTGTGCGAGGGGTGGGGTACACCCTGGACAGGTCTCCAGTCCATCACAGGGACACGTATAGACAAACAACCATTCACTCTCTCTCTCACACCTAGGGACAATTTAGAGTTACCAATCAGTCTAACATGCATGTTTTTGGTCTGTGAGAGGAAACCAGAGTACCCAGAGAAAACCCACACATGCACGGAGAGAACATGCAAACTCCACCCAGAAAGGCCCCCGGTCCGGGATTTGAACCAGCAACTTTCTCACTGAGAGGCAGCAGCTCTACCAGTTGTGCCACCGTGCTGCCTATGAAAACTATTCAATTTTAACAGTTCATTTAAGGAAATGAGGTCAATTTGTCCTCTTGTAGTCTAAGCCTATGGCAGCATGACAAGCCAACCCTAACTATAGGATTTATCATAAAGGAAAGTCTTAATCCCAGTCATAAAACTGGACAGTGTGTCAGCCTCACAGACAAAAACTGGAAGTTGGTACCACATGAGAGGAGCCTGATAACTGAAAGATCTTCATCCCATTCTGCTTTTGGAAACTGTACAAACCGCAAGTAAACCTGCAGTCTGAGAGAGAAGTGCTCTGTTGTGGAAAATATATGCATGGTAAATGGACTGTACTTATATAGAACCTTTCTATTTGATCAAGATACTCAAAAGCTACGCTACAGTCTGTGCCCTCATTTACCCATTCATACAGCACTACTAGATCTATGCAAAGCTAATTGAACAAATCATTCTAAAGAGACTAGTGCTTTAGATCACATTCATACACTGATGGGACACATATCGGAGGCAATGAGGGGTTCAGAGTCTTACCCAGGGACACTTCGGCATGTGACTGCTGGTGGATTCGAACCCCCAACTCTTGCACTGGAGGACAGCCACAGCTGCCCATCTTACAAAATATGGAACAGTGAGATCTTGATTATAAGATGGAGCTAGGTTGTTGAGAGCTTTGTGGTTAGAAATAAGATTTGAATTCTATTCTGGATTTGACAGGGAGCCAGTGGAGAGAAACTAAAACTGGAGAAATATGATCTCTCCCACTAACTCCAGTTAAGACTCTGGCAGCAACATTTTGGATCAACTGAAAACGTTTTAAAGACGTATTTGGACATCCAGATAATAAACCATTGCAATAGTCCAGTCTAGACGTGACAAATGCATGGACCAGTTTTTCTGCATCATTTTTAGATACGATGTTTCTAATTTTAGTGATATTACGCAGCTGGAAGAAGGCAGTTCTAGTAACGTTTTTAATGTGGGGGATAAAAGACTTGTCCTGATCAAAAATAACACCAAGATTTTTAACATTAGAGCTGGAGGACAGATTAATGCTGTCTAAGGAGAGAGAAAGACTGAATAATTCATTCCTAAGGTGCTCAGGTCCAAAAACCAAAACCTCAGTCTTGTCTTGAGTTTAAAAGCAGAAAATTTAGGATCATCCAGGTTTTTATGTCTTGACGACATGCTTGTAGTCTAAGTAGCTGATTGGATTCATTGGGTTTCATGGACAAATGTAATTGTTTATCATCAGCATAACAATGAAAATGTATCCCATGCTGTTCAATAACTTTACCTAATGGAAGCATATATAAGGTAAAGAGTATCTGTCCAAGTACTGAACCCTGAGAAACTCCATGACTAACTTTGGTGTATGATGAATATTCATTATTTACATTTACAAATTGAAATCTATCAGATAAATATGATTTAAACCAATTTAGAGCTGTTCCTTTAATCAATATCATATTCAAGTCTCTGTAGTAGAAAATTGTGATCAACTGTATCAAATGCAGCACTGAGGTCTAACAGGACCAGCCTATTGTCTGAGGCCATGAGAATATCTTTAGTATCTTAACACCAGTGCAGATTCAGTGCTGTGGTGATCTCTAAACCCTGTCTGAAACTCTTCAGATTATTTCTTTGCAGATGATCATGTAACTGATCAGCAATTACACTGCCTGGCCAAAAAAAAAGTCACCACCTGGATTTAACTAAGCAAATAGGTACGAGCCTCCTATTGTATAATTACTGCATAGGAGATTATCTTTCAGCTGGTAACAAGTTATTTAACCCCAACTGGTGCAATGAGTTGTTTCTCATTTCTTAAACAAACATGCTGAAAGACGCATCGCATGGTCGTGGAAAAGACGTCAGTCTGTTTGAGAAGGGTCAAATCTTTGGCATCAAGCAGAGAAAACATGTAAGGAGATTACAGAAACTACTAAAATTGGGTTAAGAAATGTCCAACACATTATTAAAATCTGGAAGGATAGTGGGGACCCATCGTCTTCGAGGAAGAAATGTGGCTGGAAAAAATCCTGAATGATCGTGATCGGCGATCACGAAAAACAACAGCAGCACTCTGGGCTGTGTTTAATAGTGAAAGTAAGAACATTTCCACAATGTGAAGGGAACTCAAGGGATTGAGACTGAACAGCTGTGCAGCCTTAAGAAAACCACTAATCAATGAGGCTAACTGGGAAAAAAGGCTTCAGTTTGCTAGAGAGCATAAAGATTGGACTCTGGAGCAATGGAAGAAGGTCATGTGGTCTGATGAGTCCAGATTGACTCTGTTCCAGAGTGATGGATGCATCAGGGTAAGAAGAGAAGCAGGTGAAGTGATGCACCCATCATGCCTAGTGCCTAGTCATCAATTCAAGATATTGGTGAAAAATTAATGCAACACTGGATGGACATAGATCTTGTGACATTCATCCATCCATTATCTTTTACCCACTTCTTCCAATTTAGGTCAATGGGGTCGCCGGTGCCCATGTCCAGCAGTCACTGTGTGAGGAGCGGGGTACACCCTGGACAGGTCTCCAGTCCATCACAGGGACACATAGAGACAAACGAGACAAACAACCATTCACTCTCTCTCTCACACCTAGAGACAATTTAGAGTCACCAATCAGTCTAACATACATGTTTTTGGTCTGTGGGAGGAAACCGGAGCACCTGGAGAAAGCCCACGCATGCACGGAGAGAACATGCAAACTCCACCCAGGAAGGCCTCCAGACCGGGATTTGAACCTGCAACCTTCTCACTGAGAGACAGCAGCTCTACCAGTTGCGCCGCCGTGCTGCCATCTTGTGACATTGCAGAAGTTTATTGAAACAATGCCACAGTGAATGCATGATGTAATCAATACTAAAGGCGGTCCAACAAAATATTAGTGTGTGACCTTTTTTTTTTGGCCAGGCAGTGTATTTTCTCTAGAATTTTTGAGATAAAAGATTAGATATATGTCTATAATTGGCTAGGATTCTTGAGTCATGGTTACGTTTCTTAATTGTAGGTTTAATTATAGCAGTCTTTTTTCATTCAAGCTTTATTTATACAGGTTAATCCAATTGAGCCTCGGGGACTCATTTACAAGAGAGACCTTATTTCTGAACAAAGAGTGATGACAAAAGTGGACAACAAAGACAACAATAGACAATCATAAAATATGCAAACAAATTGAGAATAACAAGTGAAAATAAAATGGTATTTTAAAAAAATGTAACAAAAAAAAAGCTAGGTTGTAAGGCGATGTAGAAAACTAAAAACAAGAACATGTCTGCATTGTTTTTTTTTCCAGGAACTTAACAGATGTTAATCTTAAATCTCTGAATTGAATTAAATTGAATATAAGAAGCACAAAGAGAATTTAAGATTATTATTTTTTTAATGAATGAATGTTAAAGGTGCTGCTAGTGGCTGATTGGGGTCACCATGGTAACACACCTGCGTCTTACACTCAGACGTCACTCCTAAAAAAACAGGCAAACAGAAACACGGACTAGAAAGTAAGCCTCAGTGAAACAATATGCAAAACCTGTAATGGAAAAACTCGAGTTTGGAAGTGTGCACTCTGAGGGGATTTGAGTTTTTAAGGTTGTGATTGCGGAAAAAAAAAATGATTTCAAAATTCCAGTTTGTTCATAAAATCCCACTTCCTGTGATCGGGTTAAACCTCGATTCAGGGTTCTGTTGTGACTTTTTTTTTTTTATTCATTCAACTTTTATTTTTACATTAGTCTCATTGAGTCTAGGACTCATTTACAAGAGACCAGACCAGACATATGTCTGAAGAGCTTCAAAAAGGTTTCGGCGAGATTTTCTTTCTTGTTTCCATCAAAACGTCGTCGTAGTTTGAAATTTTTCCTTTAAATTCTTTTTCTTTTGGCATTTTATTACCATCTACCAACTAGTACAAACAGTACCGAGCGTGTACTTTTTACTTATTCCTGATAATCAAGTCATACATTTTGGTGTATTTTTATATATATATATATAAGGTGTAGAAGTAGCAGCTTAAAAATCAAAGCAAATCTATGTTTTATGGCGTTTAGGTTAATTCATTTATTCGTTTCTATTTATTTG